CACACACACACACACACACACACACACACACACACACACACACACACACACACACACACGCACACACACGGGCCAAGACAAGTGAGCACACCCAATCCACGAAGTCGATGTGCGCTCATGCTGGAGATCGTAAATGAAATCCCCACATACCCCGACTGTGCAGAGAACACGAGAAGTCCAACAATCTTCCGTAGCTCCTGTCTTCGTCGCCTTCGCGGGCTGACCCTGACAACAGTGTTAGGGCAGGAGACCCCCACAAAAACCTCCATATCAAAGATCGAGGGGTAGAACCCCCGATTGGTCTCGTCAGGTATGGTGCATCGTTCGGATCCCACCCGCCGATGGCCCGCACATATCACACTTTCCTTCCTCCACCGAACTAGGATTCCTGACAGAAGTCAAGTGAGACCGGCAACGACCAGGAGCATATCACTGCTCCCTCGACACGCCCCCCTAACAGCCTAGTGTTCTTCCTTGCGCCGCCATGGTCAATCGAAGCAGACAAATTTTGGCGGCCCTGTGAGCAATCCCCCAACGCCCGAACGCTGCCACGAGGGCGGCGCTAGCGCAGCATTACCGCTGCGCTAACGCACCGCCATACACCCCCTCCTCCTACATGTGACCCTGAGGCAAAAGTTATTCAGTTTATTTTTCTGCATAACATAGTTGGTTTTCAATTTTTTTTTTTTTATGTTTTTTTTTTGGGCTGGGACCTTTCATGGTCCTTGCATGGCTGGGCCGCCCGGGAAAATAGGTTGACCCGGGCGGCCCGGCTGGTAGCCTAGGTCATTACAGTATTATGGGGAACCCCCTAGCAGCCACATCCGTGCTCAAGCCTCCAACAAGGGAACATGCTGGAGCTGCACCCACCAGCAGGTGCCATACCTGCTACAACAGGTGGGCGATACCTACGTGGCACCCTCAGCCGCGGCCGCAGGATCCGAGTCCCCAGCCCGGATCCTAGGCCGCGGGTCCGCGGCCTAGGCCGCACGACCGAGTTTGCGCGTGGCCGAGTTTGCGCGCAAGTGGGCGCGCGCCCTCGAGATCCGAGCGTGCGCTCGGCCTGCGCACGTCGGCCACTATGGGACTGCATTAAAAAAAATCAAAAATTTGGGGGGGTCGATTTTGATAGGTAGCAAAAAAAAAAAAAAAAAAAAAATCGTTTATTGATTGTTTTTTTTAATGATTGATTGATTGATTGATTGATGATTGGTTGATTGATTGATTGATTGATTGGTTGATGATTGATTGATTGATTGATTGATCGATTGGTTGATTGATTGATTGATTGATTGGTTGGTTGATTAATGGATTGATTTTTTTTTTTT